TGGTCTAGCTATTAGTCCAGTATGTACTCTGCCTTTCACTTACCAGTTGCTGGAGCAGACGGACTGTTCTAATTCGATAGATTCTCTAGAAGGCCCTGGAAGTGGTCAGCAGGGTAATAAAAAAATGTTACGATTAAAGAACAAAAAAAACAAAATGACTAATCTGGAGAAGAGAAACTTCTTCAACAAGAAGCTACCTTAATGGTTCATCCTCGTCCTCAAGAAAGAAAAATAGTTTGTGCAGTGGTCTATAAATATGTTGCTTTAAAATTATGTCATTACATAACGCAAGTTTGTATATGTATGTATTCATCAAATTTGTAACCTTACACCACAACTAGCGTGGTGAGGCAGCCGCAAAAAAAGCCGGCTGGATCATCTGAATTCAAGTTCTCCTATCACTGATGAGTCACAAGTGAGAGCAATAAAGTTGTCAACAACACTGTTAAAGCTACTTTCAACATGTCTGTGAGCATGTTTTACTGACATCAGTAGGAAAAAGGATGGCATTTTCAATGTGACGTCAAGTACTGGGCTTAGGCACGGAGAAGGTCCTGATGTTACCTAGCAACAAGACAGTGTATCCCTCACAAAGAGCAATCTCAGCTAAACTCTGACCTAAAGCTGGGAAATAAAAACTATTCTCCACTGAACGTTTACTGGGGTCTTATCCTTTAATGATTATGCCTGTTCTGTCTCAGATTTTTTTTTTTGTATCTATTACATTAAATAATCTCACATGGCATAGTCATAGCGCTTTTCGTTCATGCAAAAGAGTAAATATTTATTGAGATAAATATTAAACTGCAACAGCAAACACTATGCTTTAGCAAGACCCAAAGTGTTTTTAAGTCACTGTATAAGCATCAGTATATGAACACTGCCATCCACTGGCAATACATTGAACTAAAATCTCCACAATATCCTGCTTGGTGTTTTATGCTGATGTAAAGTAGGCCTATCAGAAAACACACTGCAATACAGAGGGTTAAAAATCCCAGTGTCGTTATATAACAACCTTGGATTCATTGGGGAAAAAAAAGGCAGAACCAAGGCCGTATGACTAACAGTCGATGTTACATAAGCGACATTAAGCAACTGAACACGTCTCACAGTTTTTAATTGTTATAGACTGTAAGTGATGAAGATGCTAATACATCAAGGGTTATAAACCTGAGCACACATTTGGTGGACATGCAGAAAGACGAGCTTTAACACAGAACTGGGGGACATATTTCAGCCATCAATCATTTAAAAATATAAAAAGTACGCCATCATACGGTGACTAAATGAACACTTTAGATCTGATGTGTGCAAAGGTGCAGCAGTGCTGATCATTGTTTACCCGTTTTAAATAAGGATGTGTAAGAACGGTTTCCAACCCCTAGGGGTCGCATTTGTCTGCCATAAGAAGCAGTGGAGTGCTGCTTCAGCACTGCTGCTATGTTTACACAATTTTAATAATCTAATAATCACATAAAAAATATAGAAATAAAGAGTTAGCAGATACAGTTGGTGTCTAGTTAATAATTTAATGGGTCTGAATGCAGGTTGCTGCTGTTGACATTTTTCCTTCAACCAAGAGCATTACACTAATAAGGATAAAGGAGGCGGCTGTATTGATTCGGCTTAGCGGGATCATCAAAGTCCAGCGTTTTTGATGTGTTATGCGGAAATAATCTATGAGGCACTATGACCTGCCCCCCCTGGCCCCAAGTGGACCAGCATGCTGTGACCCACTTCTTTTGTACCTCCAGTTTATCAGCTCAAGAGGCTTTTGTTTGTATTCAATCAAAAGAGCCCAACACCCCTCCCCCCAATATGCTAACCTCATCACAACTAGTATGATCCACAAACATACTAGAATATATGCAGGATCCTGAGTCAACCTTAAACAGAACTACCGAAGAAATCAGTGTGTGGATGTACCACAACTTTCTCCAGCTGAACAGAAACAAAACCGAAATTATTATCTTTGGTCCTAGAGAGGAAGGTACAGAGTCACACAGCTTCATCTTTTATATCTAGAAACTAGAGATCTGGCCCAACATCTAGGTGTAGCAATGAACTAATCTGAACCTTTAGAGCCACATAAAAAGTTACAAAGTCAGCTTTCTATCACCTGAAGAACATTGGAGGACTAATGTCTCTGCAAGATCTAGAGAAACTCATCCATGCATTTACCATTAGTTGCTTTGATTACTGCAACAATGCCTTTTCACGTCTGTCTATAAAAGAAAATATGAAAAAATTAAGATAGCAGCAGCTGAAAATGCTCATCTTTTGACTAAAACCAAGGACATATCACATCACCAGTCCTAAAGTCCTTCCACTGAGAGAGCAGATTTATTACTTTATAAATCACTGAAAGGCTTAGCACCACAATACATTAAGATCTGTTGGTGTCGCAGAACCAGAAGACCTCTCATGTCTTCTGGTTCTGCTCTGCATCCAAAGAACCAAACATGGAGAAGCAGCACTCAGCTTCTATGCGCCACAAATCTGGAACAAACTTGTAGAAAACTGAAAAGTAATAATAAAATCTTCTATTAAGCACATTTTCCCAAAAAAAAAAAAAAAAAAAAAAGAACAGATTAGTAGACATGTTTTTAGCTGCAGATGCATCCTTTGTTACAAATGGTCAAGAGCTCATTAAAGGAACGCTGATATGGCATTTTAGGCAATAATTTTTTTTTTTCTTATTTAAAAAAGATTTTTTTATTGTATGTCTACCTTTGTGCCATATAGCACCTAACGCATTGATATTACCCCAGTGGGATTGTTCGCCCAGGGCAGCAAACCCACTCAGATCACCTCTATAATCTTGTGATAGGATTTGATTTACAACAATTAAATAGAGGGTACAAAAATAAAAATAAAAACCCAAAGCGATGGAATATGATTTTAACCAGACAAGCTTGCACTTATAAATTTCACAATAAAACATTTTCAGTTTGAATTGATTTTACTAAAACGTCAAACTAGTTGCTGGTAGAAAGAAATCAAATCTGTTTTACTCATTGTCAAAGTTTAGAAAAGTGAAGGTGAGAAAATAATGTTTTAGTATTTGGTGTCATTTCTGCTCAACAACACATTTTCTGCTATCTTTATTTTATTTTATTTATTTATTGCTTGGTATGAGTTGCAAAATCACCGTGGACAGCATTAAAAATTTATTAAATGGTTATTATAATCCAAGAAGTTTAGTTATTTGAAGTAGGAGCTCGTTGCTCTGCTTGCTAAAGTCATAACAACTTTAAGCTAACACTTGTGTGAGGTCATCTAGAATGAACGCTAGCTCACATGGAGCGCGCGACTTTTTGCATTTACTCACTCGAGGCTTTTGTAACGTGATTTTAACAGCTCAGCCAGTGTGTGTCCGGACTCGCTTACATCCAGGAATCAAGTTCCAGATGTTTCCAAGTCAATGAGCCGTTAGCAGGGGTTCGACTGAACCTGATGACAGGTGTGGGTGGTCAGCTCATCTGAAACAGGTGTTGGAGCATTCTGACGTAAAGAGTGGACGCCGCAACGTCCACTCCTCTACGTCAACGTCGGCGCCATATTGTGAGAGGCATTTTTTTTTATTTTTTTGTAGACGCTAAAAAAACTGCACAAACCAGTTTTATGCAGCCCACAATGCTGCTTTATATAAATTATGTTTTATTTATCTAGTCATTTTGATTTTGATTTTTTTGCAAAATTGCTATGCAACATGGCACAAATCTTTCAGATAAATGCATTTTTGTCACTTAGAGTACATGAAATAATTTCCTGGTGTCATCAAGATATTTTTGTGAAAACTGAGACGGACCTTCCTGCTCTTTTTTGGTCGTCAGTGATGTAACTTCTTTTCATCCAGTTCAGTATTGTAGAATCACAAACACTGATCTCAACCAAGATGGACGAGGAGTGCTTTATATGTTTGTTTCTTTTTTTACTCCCAGACCTTCCTTGAAGAGATGTCAATGGCTTCACGCTGCCTGTCTGTAATGGTGCTTTAAGCTCAGACTCTGAAGCAACTTTATAACTCTTTCCCAAAGTGTGACATCATTGACTTGTTCTCTCGTCTGTTGTTGAATTTCATTTGAAAGGGTCATGATGTGTCACTTTTGCAGATCTTTTCACCTACTTCATGTTGTCAGACAGGTTCTGTTTAAGTGCTCATCAATATTCATGACTCTTAACCCACCTTGCCCTTTCAGAATTAGCCATATCAGTTTACATGACTACCCTTTAATAAAATAAAACATCATTGGAATACTACATTTCAAACCTGAAGATTTGTAAAACAAGAAAAAGCAAACAAAATATATCAGTAAGTAGGGAAAATGTTTTTCACAGTAAGCTAATGTGCTTCAAATATGTGTAACTATTGCCGGTTTTGAAAAATAGTTCTTTTGAGTTATTGATAATCACCTAAATTGAGACATTTAAAGTACTGTACTTTACATATCCTCACCTTCCTGATGGCACAAATAAAATAGATTTTTTAAATTCTTTTTAATAATATTTATATTATTATTACCATTATTGTTAATAATAATAATAATAATAATAATAATAATAATAATAATAATAATAATAATAATAATAATAATACATGTACTGATTTATTTAATTTCAAAAGTCATTTTTGGAAAAAAAAAAAAGACTTGTGACGACACTGAAGCACGATGAAAACTTTGTTGTTCTTTCCTGTCACCGTTAATTTAGCAATAAAACGTTCAATGAATGTTTTGATTTTCTTCCGTAGGTCAGGTACCTGTGTTTTTGTTTGTTTTTTTGTTTTTGGCGCATCACTTGATACAATGGTCCCTCGCTCTACCTCCTCACGTGCTCGCTTATTGGATGTCATAGAGGTGTGCGAGGAGCACCAAAATATGGCGCTATCATTCTCAGCCAATAGCCGCTCGGTTTGTAACAAGTTTCTGCTTGCCGTCACGACGGCGACGGGAACGCGCGTCCGAGACTGGGAAAGGGACTGAGAGGCGTCGGGGTCGCGCTCACCGTATTCGGCTGGCAGGTGCCCGCTTCACCAGGTTCAGCGGTATGGGGGATCCTGGACCCCGAGACGAGATGGACCCTCGCCGAGCGACCACCGCACAGGGACCGTGCAGGCGGTTCATACCGGGGTAGAGGAGAGGAGAGTGTCAGTAAGTGAGCTACAGAGGAGGCGGTGTTTTCTGGGAGTCAATCAGACCTGGAGTCACTGCTTGGTAGGATAACGAGGAGAGACGGACGTGAGGGAGCTGGGAAGTCGACTTAACTTAACTAAATACCGCATTGAAGTGAGCGGAGACAATGAATAAATTGGTGATTACGAGCCGGTCCGGTCAGCCTGGGCGAAACGAAACAGGCTGGGCTCGTCCAGTGTGAAGTCGGCTCCCATCTGTTGACTTCTCCGCCGGGCGGCGATGTCCGCTTTCTGCCTGAATCTGCAGACGTCTGCCGTGGTTTCAGCACCACTAGAGCTGGACAGCGACTGCATGGAGCCACCCGGCAGCCCCGGCGCTCAGGAGCCCGGCGGCTTTCAGAGCCACCCGCCGCCGCGGCGCGCCGGCTGCGGAGGCCTCGGCACGGCCTTGGAGGAGGAACTGGCCATGATCACCGGGGAGCGGGGAGTCGACGAGGAGCTGGCGGAGCTGGAGGCGCCAGCGGTGGGGCATAGCGCAGACATGCTGTTGCTCTTCCGGCAAAAAGAGAAGGACTTGGTTTTAGCAGCTAAACTGGGCAAAGCGCTGCTGGAGAGAAACCAAGACCTGACCAAGCAATACGAGAAGATGCACAAAGATCTGTGTGAGAAGTTGGAGGTAAACAAGAAAACCCCTCTGTAGAAGTTGTGATAGTCTGAAATATAAAAAGATTCCCTGCCAAGTTTGGCCACTTAAATCAATTTAGAGACAGTCACGTTTTGATTGAATTGGTTTCAGATGGATGAAGTTATAATAGATGGTGACAAATGCACTCTAAAATTATGCACGAATGTTTATCTCAGATGTAATGTTTTACAGTGGGGGCTGGGATTTAGTTGAGCTTGTTTTCAAAATGCTTTACATGAGCTAAGCGACAGGCTGAGAAAACAGAAACTAATCCTGTTTATGTCCTGGGCCTGTAGTATCTGCTGGGCATCTGTTCACCCCTTTGATCCACATCCATCCTTTTGCATGAGCTCAGAGGGAAAAAAAGCTGAAGCTATCGTTTTTGATTCACTCCGATCTTTCTTTTTCACGTTGGCTTTCGTTCAAAGAAGAAAATAGTTCAGACTCCATTTAGTTTAAGCTCAGACCTAACTATTACGACAACTCCCAATCAAGCTCTGAATGTACTGCTGACAGTGCAGCGCTTCTGTCCTCTTCTCGCTTTTTTAAACCATGAGTTCAAGTTACAAAAAAACTGTCTGTACTGAAGTTAAGCCATTAGATTTTATTGTTCTTTGTGAAACTGTTCAAACTCTTTGAACTTTTGTCACAATTTGGAACTTTTTGTGGTGGCTATATGCAATAAAATAGGTCAGCATGAAGTTGCAGAAATTCTAAAGCGGAAAAAAAAAACACGAACCAATCATTTTTCAAAATTTTCTGATTTCATTGCTTTAGGTGATACACACAAACATAGAGCAGAATCTGTAATTGATGCCTTGCACAGAGAGTATACAGCTAATTCACAACTGCAGTTTCTACACGGTTGGGATTTTCTGTGCATCACAGTGCATACAACTTACACAAAGATGAATATTTTCATTTAAAAAAATGGAAACTATTTTGAAACCTATAAATTCATATGATAAAAACCGCACATTAAAATATGTGCAATTTATATATCAAGATGTAATAAACATACTAAAGTTTTCCTCTTTGCATTTAATCTTACAACCTCCAAATTTACATCAATATGTTTGTACATCCTCAGGGCCTCCCCAATCTTGCCAACATACTAAAATTGTGAATATAGTACAAACTCACTAATACATACACTTCCACATTGACGTTCTCATCCATTAAATCTGATGATGATGAACGACTAAACAGAACGTCTGGGTGGAAATGAGGATGATCACAGTTTTGTTTTTTTTTTTTTGGCAAGATTTCGCGGTCCGAACAAACATTTTTACACGTTTGTAAAAATGTCCGAGACATTTTACATGTGGGCGGGGTCAATGAGTTCCATGACTTCGTACTTTAATTTGAAAAAGTGGTCTGACCAAGCTGAACAAAGAACTGAGATTAAATTACACACACGTTGACTGTATTTACTATTTAGGTATCTTCTAAAGGAAACTGATTGCAATGAATTTTAATTCCCAAGGATGAATACAAATGCATGGGGTGATTTTCAGATATGTGTAAAAACAATGAAAAGCAAGTGGGACTTTGTAAAACGCAGTGGTTGCAGCTAAACAAAATGTAAATAAAAAAAAATAAAATGAAGGAGATTGAATAAATGTTCAGTAGTTCGACAACTTTTAGGCTGAAAATTAAGGCTGCGCCGGTTAACAATCTTTGAAAAAGAAACCTCACCTGTCTCCCAAAACGAAGGAAAACAAAGTCGATTTATCAGCTGGCTGACATACCGATGCTCCCCTACTGGAAACCAGAGAATCATCTTACTATTCACTTTCTTGTTTCTCACTGTTATTTCCTCATTTGACATTTTCATGTTAATTTTTTAGTACTTTATCAGTCCTATACTAAATGTAATGTATGTCATGGGCAAATCAACTCTATCATATTCAAACATCTGAGTTTGACTTGAACTTCCCTATCACTTTGTTGTAATAATAACTCTCTCGAAAACTGTTTATGAAACATAATAGTGTGAGTGAAGCCATAGTCCCATTCTGGGGTGACCGTGGCTCTGTGGGTGTAGTAGTTGTTTTGTAGCTGGAAGGTTATGGGTTCAATTCCAACTTCCTCCTGTTGTATATTGATATGCCTGTGGGCAAAGCATCTAACCCAAAGTTCTGATTTGCAGATCAGTGTATAAATGCGTAAGCTTTTCTGAGCCATTTTTCTGTGGGTGAATATGGCTGTAGTGTAAAGTGCTTTAAGTGGTCAAAATGACTGGAAAAGTTATTGTCATGGTAAATGATTTACCATCCTTATTTACTTTAGATGTATGCTTACAGGAAATACAGAACATAACCTCTGTCACTCCTGTCCCCCTCCTCTACGCCCAGCTCCTGGAGCAGGAGAAGCACGAGTTGCGGCGGCGCTTCGAAAGTCGAGAGGGTGAGTGGGAGGGCCGCGTGGCCGAGCTGGAGACGGACGTCCAGCACCTGCAGGGCGAGCTGGAGCGCCACCAGGTCCAGCTGAGGGAGGCGGACAGGGACAAGACCAAGGCCATCAGCGAACTTTCTGAACAGAACCACAGGCTACTGGAGCAACTCAGTAGGGTGAGGAGGAGTGAGTCCGTGTGCGTCGATGTGTGTGTGTGTGTGTGTGTCCATCCTCATGCTTCAGAGGTTACAGCTTTAGGCCACCTGGGCAAATTTGCAAGGAAGATTTAATTAGCTAGGGCTTTGTGTTGTGGGTCACATGGTCCTAATCCTTCCCTTACATGGCCTTCCATCCAGTCACGGCACACTTAGGAAATCACTATGGTTTGTGTGAATGTTTGTATATATTCTGAAAACAAAGGTTCTCTGACTTCTTAACTATTTTGCATTGTGTGGACATTTTGCTGGTTCTCACAATGAACAAAAAATTTGTGGGTTTGTGGTTAAGTTTAGGGGTTAGGTTAAGGAGTGAATTGAGTTTAGAGTTGGGTTTATACTCAAGATTGGTTAGGGTCAGGGAAAGTGTCTGGATTAATAATTAATGCAGTTACGAAAATGATTGGACATCAATCCAGAGGAATGGGACCTAACGTCAGGGCCTCATAAGAAGAGGTGCTGTTTTAAGCAGTAGGGGTTAAAAAAGTATGAATTGAGTTTAAGTTGGGTTTAGGGTTTGGGATGTACTGGTAATCGATAGAGTTAGGGTATGGGTTAATGTTAGGGTATAGAAATGAATGAAATGAATGCAAAGTCTTTTTGAAGGTAGAAATACTTACGATGTGTGTATGTCTGTATGTGTATGTGTGTTTTCTTGGGGCCAATCTGTTGAGTTTCTGTTTGCTTGGGTGGAATAGCACAGGCTGCTCAGCCAAATAAATTTTCAGCTCCCTCTTCCCCCTCATGGTGGATCTACCCCTGTCTACTGTTTTCTCCCACTTAATCTGAATTATGTCAGGTCCTAAATATAAAAGCGGGGCTTCCAGGTCTCACACTGAATAATTTACACCGATTGAACTATGCGCTTATGCAATAGCCCTCTGCTTATTGACAGGTGATTTGAGTGCAGTTATTTGTGACTGGCTGAGATGGAATGAAGAGATTCGGAGACAGATGAATGGAGAAATTAATGGGAACAAAGCTTGAGCCTTTTTGGACCAGACGTCAAAGCTTTATCGCTGCTGGAGATGGTTCACAGACTGCAGGGTAAGCTGAGGCCGGCTGCAAGGGAAAGATTGATGGAACTGAGAGTGCTAACGTTTGTAGCTGCTCTTATTTAAGCCGCTCTAAGAAGCTCAGAGGAACCTCTCAATCTGCTCAGGCGAAACACTTCCTTCAGTGAGGATGGCCACTTGCTAATATAATAGCTCCTGAAATAACATCTATGTTCTTTCATTCAACACTCGGAACAGGGCCGGCCCAAGGCATAAGCAAACTAAGCAGCCTCTAAGAGCCCCTGGGCCACCAAGGTGCCCCCTCATTGGAACGGATTTATTTATTTATTTAATAATTTCAATATCATTAAAATAACAGAAACACACAATTTAATCATAAAGTGATTTGTTTTTACAGTAATATATATTTGATGATGTGTGTAGAAATCTTTATTTTATGGACAAAAAGAAAAAAAAATGCTCTTGGGGCCCCCTTGTGGCCGCAGTAAATACGGCACACTTCGCCAGTAGCATGAGCATCCAAACATTCAAAATTCTGGTAGAAGATAAGTTAGGAAAACAATGTCTCAAAAAAAGACTTATCCTTCAGGGAGAAAGAAAAGAGGAAGAATAAAAAAAGCAAGATCAAGGTTTGTTTTAATATGTCTTGGTAATGGAATGTTGATTAAAAAAAAGATTTATCATGTGTGTTTTAACTTGAAATTAGTTGACTCTCCTGCTTGGGTCTGTGTATTTCTGAGGGGGGTTTTTTAGCTTCAAAACGGCATTTGATAACATTTGATAACAATAATTAAAACTTCTCAATGTTTGACATTGTCTAGCAAAATGTTTTACATCAGGCCACATGGCTGCTGCATTAATATGTCAATGAGCTGCTCTAAGCTGTAGTTGGGAACATGTTGTTTGCTGCTGACCATTTATGTGGCTAAAACAAACAATATTTTCATATGAACTTATAAGATATGTTAAACTTCTTTTAAAATCATTTGAAGGCTCAGAATCAACCCAGTACAGGTCCAAAGACTCACCTATGGGGGGCGTTCTGTTCTCAATCCAGCCTTGCAGATTTTGTCCAGCTCTCCAGGCTCCATGCTGGGGTCTCATCTCACCGTTGGACGAATGTGTCCTTTGGTTCAACATGTTTGGACAAAACAATGTTTGTTAAAATCACTTTTGATCCACAAACAATCTCCATGTTCAACTTTGAAAGCGTTTTCCAAACGTCTGAACTTGTCAGTAGTGCAGCAAGCAATGACCAGAATGTAGAAGTTTGTTACATACATACAGTGATGATGACATCATAAGCATGGCTCTAGTTGTGACATCACAGTTTTTCTTCATCTCTGGAATGATGATGTGAGTGTTTGACCAACCAACCTCCCCCATCATCCTTCTCCTCACCTTCCTGTCCTCCATATTGGAGTTGGGATGGTTATACAGTGTCATGGAGGCTCTGATTGATTCTTTCTTTTGTTCATGATTATTTTTGTTATCTTTGCATTGCATCTTAGGACAGTTGTCCCCTCTGGTTTTGGATGACATACAGTTGGACGTTTTTTGCTCTTTCTCTTTTAGTTTTTGGCAGTTGGTATGATGCGTATCCATGGCAATACTATCTTAGGTTTATTTTTTACGACTATTCATTATCTCAAAAGCTCAAATAGTGAACTTACCAATAGTGTTGCAGATGCATGTTGGATCACTAGCAAAACAATTTTTCTAATTCTGACATGTATCAAGTAGTTATCAGTAAATTCTGCTTACCTACATATTTCTGCAGTCAGAGGAATATGGGAGAAGTTTAAAAAAATGTATGCCTTCAAGTCTCTTTATTCAGTCATTCATCAGCTATTTACCAGAGAGTCAGGGAACAGGTGTGGAGGGAGCTCTATAAGACAGACAGGCTGAACAATGATGCTTAATAAGTCGCCTCTCAAACATCCAGCTAATGTCAAAGTGTGTGATAAAAGCTGGGGAGAATTTTCTGCTTTGTTTTTGGCCAAAGATCATTTTACACTGATAAGCAACTTAGAATAAGTGATGGCAGCTCATGATTTAGGAAAAAACTTACAAACAAGAGTAATAATTATCATTTTTGGACCGTAATATATTACACAGATGATTGGTCTTGTTTAGAACTGTAATGTTTATGTGTTCATGGAATCCTGAAGAGCAAATATTCAATAAAATGAGTCAAAGTGGGCTTGTTTATAGCAACCTCGTCACAAACTACTAGTTATAGTTACCGTTAGTTACACTGAGTCTGTTGGTTTATGAAGAGACATGTTTTTTAAAGGGGCTCAATAAAATTTTTTGTCATGGGGCCCAAGATTCCTGCCGGCGCCCTTCCCTGTTAGCAACAGGTGAAAGTTTTAGAGGCTTGTTGCTCCAATTCCTGAATAAAGATTTTAATTTCATTCCTCATTCAGTGGAAACATTGAATGAGGAATGTTTCCACTGAAACATTGTTAGTGTATTTTTTTTACACTAACAAAATGTAGACAAAGTTTTGGGCACGTTTGTAACAGAAATGTAGCTACATTTACCTCTCTTAATTAAGGAAACGTACCTCTCATAATTACAGCACTGATAGCCGTTTCTTTAAGTGTTGCAAATAATAGCACAGTGATCTGCTTGCTCCCATAGGTGCAGGAATGCTGCTCAGATTGCCTGTGAAATTCAGACAATCTGCATAAACAGTAAAAGCAGTAAATGCTCAGATTCATTTCCACCCAGACGTTCTGTTTAGTCGTTTAGCACCGAGAAGCAGGGCGATGGAAAAAGTGCCTCCAGAGCTCAATACAGAGGTGCTTTGATAACCCTGTCAGCTGTGATTCCTCTGATAAAATGCGTGTGTGTGTGTTTGTGTGTGAGTGCGTGCGTTGTTCTCTTGGGAGAAGCAGTGATATGCTGTGATGCACCTGCAGCTCCGTGTGGAACAAAGACTCCATGAGGAGGAGGTTTAACCCCTGGTCTGCGGTTGTGCAATGGATCTTCTTGTCACATCTTAATCCGATTTATCCAGCCCCTGTCCATCCCAACCCCCCCCCAAACTCCCGACCGGTTGCCATAACATCATCACCCCATAAGACTCTGCTCTTCCTTTTTCTTGTCAGCTGTGGATTGCTGCAAAAGCAAAAACACTTAACATAATTAAATGTTTAATTTAGCTGAAAGCCAGTTTTCAGAATGTGGAAAGATTTTCCCGGGGAGTGTTGTGATTGGTGGTGCGACGGCACATTCTGTGGTCTGTGCAAGTCCTCGAAATTGGAGCCAACTAATTGAACGCATCGATTCGGATGGCATGATTCAGTGGGCCGGGGAGGCCAGGGGAAACCTGCAGGGTAATAGAGAAAATAAGGTCATTCATTTTTTTTTCTATTTTTTGTTCTCTTTTCACTTTCTGTCCAGAGTCATTACTAAGCAACAGGCCGTGACTAAGTAATAGTAACATGTTACACACTCAGTCTGAAAGCAGGGAGTGCTAGACCAGCCTGAGGGGACCTAGGAGATGTGAAGCCACCGGAGACTTCCTGCTATTCTCATTTACCCTTCCTCTCTCTCATAGTTGACTCTTTGATCAGAATAAGATTGTTCCACTTCAGATGATCCTCTAGGTTCTCTTGTTAACCCCGTTTGGCGTTCTTAGTTAAAAATCCTAAAGAGAGCTGAGCAGGAGGTGAACTTCCTGCTTCTGTTTTACATCAAAACAAAAACAAGACAAAAAAAAAACATCTCATTGATAGAAAAACAAATCTGTTTTCAGTGGAAATAAATGGAACTAAGGATAAAATGAAATTATAAAAAGGTTAAAAAAAATCTGACAAAACCTACCAACCAGCAGTTTAGCACGAGCTACAATGGCTCCTGTCGTTCATCCTCTGCTTTCCGCTGCTGCATTTCCATCACAAATGTGCGGCAAACTTTGTCAATATTCGGGCTCAT